TCACGCTCGTGAATCAAGAAAGAACACTTACAAATCTCGTTTCCCTTCTATTTAACTCAAAATTACTTCAGCTAAAAATTTGAATACTCTGCGCGTTCTACTACAATTTACATACTCTGGCAATGGCAATTCCAGGGGAAAGTAAAGGCTTGATAGGAAAGATAGCTTAAAATAAATGTTAGTTAAAATAAATATAAACCCTACAGTGTAACGAAAAAAAAAATGCAGTTTTCTTTATAAAACCACTCCACGAAATTAACTCTTTGATTAAACAGATAGTCCCGGTATGCTTTGCCGTTATAAAATAATCCGATCCATGTAAAGTTTTAAACGTTTTCAAATCCTTTATATAAATTTATACTGCAGAGAGACAGGAAAAGTCATGGAGAATCTTCTAACAATCCAAGAAAAATAGCAAAATTTCAAGAATTTCCTTTATCATTTTATTGAAAAACTTAGTATTTTAAGGGAGATTCAAATCATAGTCTTTCAATATTAAAAATAATATATCTTTCATATTCTTTCTTTTACTTGACAGGTCTCATAGAGATAGAAGCAGAAAAAAACAAAAATTCATTCGCTCTTTTAAATTCAGTATTATCGTATATTTGCAGATTATGTCAGAATTACAGATTTATGAGCATCAGAATGGAAATTTCTCGCTTTGCAAGAACGAAAATGTCAGACGTAAACAACGGTTATGTAGATAAAGTTTCTCTGAGGTTCAGTTTTAAAATAGGTGAATCTAGCAACATGCAACTTCGGATTTGAATAAAAGAAAACTATGTGTTTAAGCTAAAAACAGGGCAATATTTTAATATTACATTTCAGAGTACATGTCCTTCTTTTTGAACTATGTCTTGACTTTTTTAGTAGGTATTTAACGAAAATTTAGTAAATACATTCGGTATTAATTTAAACGAAATGTTTATGTTGCAAAAATAATGAAAAGAGAACACTGTGGGAAATCCTGTGATTGTTTCCTGTGTGCGATCTTCACCTGTTGCCATTCTTTCATGTACTTGGTATGTTTCTCACACATTTGTTTTCTTGAATTATGACTGCAATGACTAAATGATCTGCCTTATCACTTAAGAATTAAAGGATCCTCCGATTTAAAATAATGTTATCTATAAGACTTAATGCCTTAAGCTTAAAATAAATCATGCTAGAGGAATAAGAAAATGATATTGAAAATGAGATGCAGCCTCAGAATTAATTGTCTTCTGTGAGTAAACCTATAGAATGCTTAGGAAACAAATGATGGAAAATAACAGAACACTTATCCAAAATCCATATAGTTCTTATTTTTTGGCTTTATTTAGCTGGAAAGAATTGCACAAAAAGTTTTAGCATTAAGTAAATGTATTATTTCATACCTTCAAATGCATCACTGTTATGATCAATACTACTATCATATCGCTTCTGTAATTCGGACAAGCAAATCTGCAGCATGGGCCACAGATGTTTGATACACTCTTCACACACCCCCACCCCAATAAAGAAATACAGGTAGTTAAAATAAAATCGGCTTGGAAACATAATTGGAATCCTGACACAAAATGTACACTTTTTCATAAACACGGGGATTTCCCATTACAGAAAATGCTTAAAATGACCCCTCTGTGATGTCGATGTAACCATCAGTTGCTGTGACACATCTGAGCATGCTCATCACTCGCGTGATCTGTCCTGCGCTCACTGCCTCTTTTAACCTGGGGGCTCATGTCTTATCAAATAATGTTAGGAAACTGGACGAGCTGCAGCAGAATATTGAAATACTATTGCTGATGTCCCTCAGTCAGAGCTGCTACACGTGTCTCACAGTTTGACAAATCAAGCACAGTGCTGCGTCGAGGTCAAAGGTGAACATTTCCAGCATTTTCTGCAATAGGAAGTTCTCCTATTCATCAAAAGGGCCAATTCCACATAAATCTTACAAATATTTTCCGGGCCGGTTAATTTTGCCCGCAGTCCGGCGAATACTACAGAAAGAAATATAAACTGATTAGACCCAGTAAACACCACAAATAGGAATCTAAAGGGGCTAAGTCGTTACAGAATAAGAGCCAAAGTGCGCTGAATGCCACAGAAAGAAATCGTAAAAGCCCAAGTCTGTGAAAGTTACAGAAAGAATGTCTTAAAAGGTCAAGTAGTTACAGGAAGAAATCTAAAGGCTTCAATTCCCCCCGCGCCAGTATTCCTGTTAAATAAAACGTTTTGGCTTCTGTTCTCCAACATGTAAACCACAATATCATAAACACATTGATTTCGATTGTATGTGTTGTACTTTTCCTGGACTACTTTCCTGATACCCCGTCATTTCGCATTATTTCTTATCTCCAAAAGCATTTTGGTTCAATTACAAAAGCAATAAGCTACAGCTATCGAATCTGAATGCAAAATTAACCTTTGCATTCATCACTGGAAAGGCTTTTTCAAGTATTTATTTATTTATATATGATTATAAAATCTAGATTATTATTAAAAACTATAGCTAGAGAAAAACATTCGAAAACTGCATTTGCTTCATAATAAAAAGTTTAGAAAATTTAGTAAGATTATAGTAATATGCTTAAATTTTTAATGAAATATTTATGTAACTTGGCAAAAGTATATTTCTACATATTCTTCTTGTGCATAAATAAATAAAACTTATATGAAAAAAAAACAATAATTTATAAATTTATAATATAGATTAGAGAAATTATATGCGTTTGTTCTCTTTTTCAGTTTATTTAAACACTACATGATATATCTTTGCTGAATTATACTGTATGATTTATTAAATTTATTACTTTGAATAAATGCATAACTATTACTTGTATTTCTAAAAGAACGTGTTTTTAAGATTTTTTCTAAATATGCATTTGAGCAAACGCCATTTGCGGATTCCTATCAGAGCGGTCTTAAATTTACGAATCTTCCCAGTTCAGGCATACGGCTAAATTATAATTTAAAATTAATTTAGAAAATTATATTGGCAAACTATTAATGCCTAATTATTTCTGCAATGAGATTAAAAATAAAAATAACTGGAAGAAAAACTTGAACGGATTAAAGAAATTAAGAATAAAATAAGATTTACAGTTATAAGATATTTTATATTAAGTAACAAAGTAAGCCTCTATTAAAACTTTTTTTTAATTTTATAAAAAAATTAACAAGTATTTTAAATAATTAATATTTTAACTTAGTAATTTAAGCCTCTATTATAACTTCTCCTTTCAGTAGTACTCCCTAAAATACAAATCAGTTGCTTGTGTATTTATGCTGAGGCTTTGAATGTTCACACTAGAGATTGTGCCAGCCTCGTCTTGCTGTTGCTTAGTAGCGCCAGCTATGCCAAGTTTTATTCCGGCTTTAGTATTTCGCTAGCGGACGTTTAAATACGCGTCGTTCACTATCTTGAGCTAGCTTAAGTAATTTATTTTGTGTTTTAATCTAAGTCTTGGTTTCCTACATTTGAATTTAACGTTACTTTATTAGTCCAAAGGGGCTTTGTCCCTGAATGACTATTGTTTTCGTTTTACAATTTTGCGTTGAATCACTACAAATGTCCGTTTCCCTTTTCACACTGTTGCCACCAAATGTTAGCATCTTGCATTATATTTGAAGAAATTAAATAATAAAAAATCTGCATAAATATATGTCTATTTCTCGCATTGTGATAAAACAACGGTACACAGAGCCATCGAATTTTGAATGACGTAATCCTCCTACAAATATGGACATGTGGAAGACCAAATTTGAAATTTGCAATTTGTTTTATGATCGATTTCATATTTTGTTAAACTTTAACGAATTTTTGAGTAACAAACTCAACGATTTAAAAGCGAGCCATGGCAGCATTCTACGGCGGGAGAATAATTTATCTTCCAGCAGACGCGGAACTGTGTATTGGAAATTCTAAAGGTATGATCATTTTAAAATTATTTTGTGACATTGTTACTGAACTGAATTTTATGGTAATTTTATTAATTTAAATTCCCGTAACTAGAGGAGGCTCGCCTTGTCGCACCAGCAGTGCTTTCTGCTCATTCAAGATTTAAGTATAAAGTTTGTTTTAACATTGTTGCTCCGCCTAAGCGATAACTCGCTTTAACTCCATAGGATTTTAACGCAAATTTCTAGATATACAAGTGCCCTAAACAGTAGTAAAGAATATTTGAAGACATATTAACTCGTATGCTAAGAGGTTATTTAGAACACTAGTTTGCACTTAGCAGATATAGAGTGCGATATTAGATTAAATAAGAAGCGAATATTTACAGCTTCGATTACGTTTATAGAGGTAAAGGATTTTAGAAAAAGCCGTATCGAAGAGCCCGGGTTAAAAGCGCGAAGAAAGCATGAATATAGTTTGTCTGTTCCTTCATAGGAGGCTATGGTAGGTGTCTCCACAATAAAGAGACCTCTGCTTACGACCTTAGCAGTGGTCAACGTCTATAAACGGCTACAGCCCGCCATTGGGGGGATGTTTTTATAACATTAAAGAATCTTAGTTATGGTGGTTTAATAATAAAATAACTTATACCTGCTTTTTATGAGCATATTCAGAAAATTATTCCAAGTTATATAAATTATGATCATATTTCAAGTTGAAACAAAACGTATAATATATTTAACCTGGTACCAAACTCAAAATTTTAAACATGAATTTTACCTTAAACTATCTACTCTTATTTTTAATTTTAATACAATCTTTGTTTTGAAAATGATAATGGTGCTACAGATTTAGTTCAAAAGCGTTAATTACAGCATCATTTAATACTTAATCTCACGGAGAAAACAAATGAGGTTATTACTTAAGGATAAATGCATACATAACGGCTAACCTGAACATCAGTAAGTAAAATCACATTTACTTACACATCAATAAGTAAAAATCACATCACTAAGTAAAATCACATTTCCATAATATTCTATTAAAAATAAGTCATTGCTCCGTTCGTCTAAGGAAGCTTGACTTTAAAATAAATGATGGAAATGAAACTTACATTTCACTTTCAGCATGACCTCCTCACTGCGCCCTTCACCTTCAGAATTGACGGCAATGCATTGATAGCAGCCTCTGTTTTCCTTCCGCACTTTCTGCAGAACAAGAGAATAATTTGACACAATAATGCCCGCAGAAGTGTTGCTGTACAAAGAGTATCCCTCGAAACGCCATTTGACTTCATTGACCATAGGATTGGCACGGATGTTGCACTCAAAGAACACGTCGGAACCTTCCCTGATGGAATCCGGTTGGATATTTGCACCCAGTGCAAGTTTCAGTTCCGGAACAACTGTTAAAATATATTAATTTATAATCGTCAAAGAGCAATTATTAAAGGTAATTCACATTTTACTATTAAGCATCGCATTTATGCAAGTAGTACAATTTATCAAATGTACCTGCAATTTTATTGTGAGACTTGCAAATAAATGGAATTGATTGCACATTTTTTAATCCTGTAGATAACAGCTGTTTCGTATCATTTCAAAGCTGTTTTGTTTTTAATTTGCTCCAGTGTCAGAATATCGGACATACCGACATCTTGTTAGTCGCGTTACCAAAATTAAATTAGTAATCTTCCTACATCCATTTACGTTTCCTAGAATGAGATTAATGACATGGCTTTCGACAAAAGTCCAAATTATAGAATATGCACCGTCAAGGAAAATTATTACGCTTTTATTCAGCTGTCGTTTTGCCTGCTATATTTGTAATCGAAATGAATGAAATGCTGCACATAAATGCATGAAAGTTACTTATGTAATTATCTGAATGTTTAACAGCATTTACGTAATTAGAATATTTGCATATATCTAGTTAAACACGCCTTATTGTTCAATTAATTTTATAACAGGTTAAAACTAAACGTCTTAACCTGTTAACGTTTGAATAAAATAAAATTTCATTTTAGGTTTAATTTAAACACGCGGAGTTTTGTTTTACGTGCCATTAGTACAAAAGCGACGTTAGTTCTGAATGGAACGATATTTTGTGTTGAATCACTATAAACGGTGTATCACATATCAAATTGCTGCCATCAAATATTACCGAAAATAATTTCTGATTAACAAACTCAACAATTTGAAAGTGAGTATTGGTACCACTGCACGGAATTAAAAGATTTTTCTCTCCAACTCGCGAGACTCTGCCGGAAATTTTAAAGATACGCTGTTTTTAAATATTTTGTCATTTTGCTGTTGAATTGAATTTTATGTGTCGTAAGCGCCAGGAACGTGATATATAATAAACAAAGTAAACAAACAAAAAGTTAATAATAAAAAGAGAAGAAAATGTGTAGGGTTTTCCTTATTTGCATAGCAAATTTATTTTAAGTTTGATACCTGTATTAGACTTCTCAACTTCGCCTCACATTTTCTCGCCAGGATGTAAATTTTAAGTTAAGTGAGGTGCCTATTTAGACGGTTGATTCTCTGAGTTTATTCAGAACGTGTTTCGCTAGCCAAGCGCACGATTCGTCGTTATTTCGCTGTTACGCTAGTAAGCCTTTTGGCATCACGCCGGTTAGGTTCTTGTAAGTCCATCTCATACGCGTAACTTAAGTGTTATCTTGCACTATTTATTTTAGGTTTGACTTAAAATACATTCTACGTTTGAGTTTTCACCGCAAGTTGAGGGTGCTTTTGTAACGCACGAAGACCGTGCCTTTCTGTTAACTATTTTAAATTGATAAAGGGTTATTTTTTACCTTTCATCTGAGTCAGTACTTTTATTCACGCCTGTGCGAGAATTCGCCAGGTCATTATAGGGTCTATTCATGTTTATGTGGAACAAAAGAGAAAGACTCTATACGTTTTCTAAAGTCGTAAGGCACCTTAGTAGAAAACTGAAGAATGATATGATAAATTGACATAAGATTGAAAAAAAACCCAGAAAAAATGTAGAAAAATCGAGAATTTCAACCATATACTGCTAGTGTAACAACAGAAGTTTAGACTGTGAGATCAGCCAGAGGTTAATAAAACAATTTAGAGACCGTTGAAATTTTAAAAACTATAATTTTTTTTTAAATTATAATTTACAAATGTCCAGTTTCTGGCACCTATACAATAAGCCGCTCTTTTCACCAGTCAATTTAAGGTGACTTTTAAGTACACAGCGCGTGCTTAACTGTTGTTTGTACATATATTGTCCACAGTCATAAAGATAACAAACTGTGACATTTGAGTATAATATAAAAGAAATGACCATTGAGGCAATTGTGTCCTGTCAATCAATCAAACGATTAAAATCACGACCATAGCTGTAGCACGAGAAGAATCGGAGACATTAGGGAACATTAACAAATTTTTCCTCCAATTCTTATGGACTTTTTTGAATTATGAGTTTTGCTGAATTTAGTATTTATCAGCTTCCTAGTAGAGTGAAAGTTCGTAAAATTGACTTTTATAGGACGTATTTTTTTTTTTTTTTCTTTTTAAAAAATAGGATAGTCGTTCCTTTTTTCCTCGCGAAAATCTAATTTTTCTTTTCCCTGTCCTCCAGAATGAGCTGCCACCCGTCATAGTGCTGTTGAGTCACTAAGTGTATTCAGAGCATGTTGGTACTCACAAATACATTTTATGTCTCATATATTTATTTAGTGTAAGAAAATTACATTCATCAATTAAGACTTTTAAGCACATTCATCAAAGCAGTGCTGACAAATTTTAACAATTAAGGGGACTCGTACACCTTAAAATTCATAAGTTTTTCGAATATGTGACTGTTGCAAGAATCGGGATAACATATTTATTTTAAAAGATATTACTTCCAACTTTTTACAACTGACTACATAATATAGCTGCTTTCTGAAATAGTCATCAGAAAGTTTGTGTTGCCACAATATTTTTATAATTTAATCCGCTTTGTGACAACATTTTTCGTCAAGTTTCCACCTTGCGCGCACAGTTTAAAATATTCTGTTCCATAATTTAATTCCATATTTAATATATAGCTTTTATAACATTTGGAAAATACTGTGAACCTAAAATTCTAAGAATGTCGTGTGAAATTTTTATTTTATTTGGAGTTGAGTTTATAAAATGTATTTTATTAAAAAAATCTGTAATATTTTCGTGCATAAATTTTATTAATACTAAAATATTCATCAAATTTTGAGTTCACTCAAAAAATAGTGCCTATCTAAAGAATTCCATGAAATTTCAAGTACGTACCATTAGCCATTTTAAAAATATCATACGCGCAAGGTGGAAGCATGACGAAATATTTTGTCACAAAGCGGATTAAATTACAAAAATATTTGTGGCAACACAAACTATCTAGTTACTAGTGTCTAAAGCAGCTATATTATGTAGTCAGCTGTAAAAATGTGGAAGTAATTGCTTTTAAAATAAATAAAATATCCCAATTCTTGCAACAGTCACATATTCGAAGATCATAAGGGGTTTAAGGTGTATGAACCCCCTTAAGTTAAAAGTTATATCTCTAAATATTTTTCATAAATATTAAACAAAGATTTCTTTTAGTATACTTAAATAAATTCATTCTTCTTCTTTCTATTTATAATAAGTCAAGTTTCATATATACTCATAAGGAATACTGCTGTATATATTACAACACTAAAATATTTGCTCATAACATATACGAAAAACAAGAAGCTTTATTTATCTATGCTTACGACCTGGGAATCATATATAATTTGAAAATATTCAAGATTATTAAAAATAAAATATATCAAACTAGGTCTGAAAGAATTCATTGTATAATCTCAATATATCTAAGCATTGGAATTATACCTTACTTACTTTAACTATAAATCATTTATGAATCCAACTATGCACGTACAAGTTTCATCGCATCACACACCGTTAAGGTATTTCATAACAAATATCCCATGCGTTAAGCTATGTATTTGATATATATGCCTAAGATTGATATTGATTTAGTGAAGATATTAATATAAACACTGCATCGTCGTGAATACCCAAAGGCAGAAACACAACGGCGGTAGATGCGCCAAACGTGGAAGTCATGCTATTGATCAAAATCATCTATCCGAACGCAAACCGATTGGAATAAATAGGCTCTAATTCCTCCTGAAGGTACTCCCACTTGTTGTATTTATGATAAAAGCTCATTCGCAAAATTAATTACTTATTTGTAAAGATATATATATACTAGAACAGTTTTCAAAGACATGGCAATACGTTGATCGTTGGTACATTTGCGGAGTCAAAAATCTTAATATTAGTTTCCGTAGCTGAAAAATCCGGATCAGTTGTCAATCAGAAGAATAATTGTTAAATTTTTCTCATAATTTAGTCGCGTTTGATAATTTTGCTTTATGAATTACAAAGTTTATTTTGATAGATGCACATGTAACATCCTAAGCATATAATGTAGCATATACTGTTCAATTTTGTGCTGTAATAAGTTACAAGAGGAAATAAAGTGATTAAATAAATAAAATAAATTATTTTATAGTCAGTTTAAAGAGAAAGTATGAATTAAACTCCCAGTTCGTCTGAAAATATTTTAACTAATAAATAACAATTAATTTTTTTCAATAAATATTTATCTTGCAAAATTCAAATTTTATCTAACAGCATTACTTATCGCACTGCAGAAAATTTTGCACAAAATATACTGAATTATCTGGAATCTTGATCTTCGTCTGATTCTCTATATATGCATTTTTGTATCCTATACCTATATTTGAAAATGAAACATAATGCACATTTATATTGCAACTCTTGTATATTGAATATATGTAATACATTATGTTTGTATATTAAATATATTGTATATTTGTACATTAAAATTATACAAAATCATATTTTTAAGGGTTTCTACCGAAGATCATTCGCCTTTTATTTAAACGATTTTAGTAATTAATTTTTTTGCATAAAGTGTGCAGCTGATGCCGTGATTTGCTTCTATCTGATAGCCTGGATCCTTGGTCCCAACACTATCTCTAATTTACAATGTTAAAATGAAAGTAAACACTTTCTTTACCACCGCCACTTTGATCTCTCCCTTGGGTAGTCTTTCGAAATATGATTCGTCTTCTTGGATGCCGTTTGTCTAAGGCTGATTTTAAAATACTGAAAACACAAAAGCTCATAGAAGTGAAGCTATTCTACAGATATTCTATTAAATAAGATACCTTTAATTTTTCCTGTTTCTGTGTCTTTCTTTGTTAAATAAGAGGAAGTTAAGTCAGATGTATTATTAGAGGCTTGTTGATATAAAGCTTAATTTTAATGTTGCTCTTTCCATATAAGGCTGTACTTTCTTCTAAAAAAAAATGATCCTAAAGATATTGTCGTT